TTACAGTCTGCGCATCGATAAATTCGACCAATGATTGTACAATAATATCTGTGCAAAGCACTAATTTACAGTAAGTCAAACAGAGTAAATTACCACGATAAAAAATGATAATTTACACTACCTTAATGGTCATCATACGTCTAAAATTACATAAAAACTAATAAGAAATGATCATTGAATATGAAAAACGTTGAACAACAATTAATTCCTCTTTTACTACCGGCATTTATAATAAAAAAATATCATAGTATAACATTATAAATTTTCTGTACTACTGTGATTGGAGTTACCTTTAAATTAATGTAAACATTGTTTAAAAATAAGCTTTTCTAAAATACCAGTGAATTCTAACGTTATTTAGTGTGAAAACTCAATTCTAATTTTGAATTTAAGATCTACGTAATACATATCGTTGTGTGTACCAAGTAAAAATTTTTACATTTTTTTTACATGTACAATACTTTTGTAGAACAACTATATTAATCTATTATAATGATTTCAACTATTATTTAATGATTTTATGAACAAATAATAGTTTTAAAAACCTTTGAAATATGATAACTAACATACATTAACATTTCAAATTATAAAAGTTTACATATTTTTAATTTATTTAGCTCAATACTGTGTAACTAAAACTTCTTGAAATTACCATGAAAAATAAACCTTATTTTATAAATAAAAAAAAGTCAAAGGTATTGAAATAAATTAATGCTTCATGCAAAGAGCTGTAAGAATATAACATTCCTTCCACACTTCGCTGAATAGAATCTGTTGCATTATTTATATCGTATTGTGAATGATTAACGAATCATGTATACGTACGTATACATGTATTATAAACTGTGTAATATTTTTCAACTTTTTGTAAAGTAAGACTCGTATATTATTAAGAATAATTATCTAAGTATAAGCTGGACATTGGCATCCTGATTAATCTATAATTATTCCGACTGTGCGTGCAGTTCAACATTATCGTACACGTTTTTTTAAAATACAGTTGAGTATTTTCAGATTTTTTTCAAGGCGGTGATAGTGAGTTTGCTTCAATTACTTATAAGTAAGAAAAGCGTATAATATTTAAACAATTATACCTTAACAGAAGAGGCGTAGACATATGGAAAAACTAATTGGTATTTTATAAATCGTGTTTAATGCATAATTTATAACTTTGTAAAATTATTGTCTACAAGTATATTATTACGTATCATAAAATACTTTTTATCTCACCGAAAAAATTCTATAGTAAAATAGAATTATTTATTTATCAATTATTTTCGTCAAAGTGTATCATGTAGATTTTCATAAGATATATGGTAACAAAAATAATGTAGACTTTTACGAAGGTGACTACTAATATTTCGCTCATAAATATTACGATCTTTTAAGGAATATATACATATGTATATATAAATCTCAACAGTGTATATTTGTAGTGTAATACTATATTTTTCGTTAAAATTTAAAATTTTTATACATTTTACTGTTTTGTTAGTACTCAATATTTTCCACAAAATAACGTTTGTTTTGAATATTTATAAAAAATTTTCACCTTATAGATGCTATATTTTTTGAGAAATTTTCCACAGTTTACGACAAATAACGTACTGTAGATGCACGGAAGAGAGTTAACTCCTATTAAATTAACAATTGATGGAAATCCTGTTAATAAATCAATATTTAAAGTCAGAATACATGTTAGTTAGGGTCGACTCTGATGCAACCAATAAATGCTCTGGATTTCTGTTTTTTTATGCATTTATATATTATTATCATTGACTTAAAAACAACCTCTTATTTATTGCGAATTAATAATGTAAGAAGCACTGGGAACCAATATTTTACATTACTGCTTCTGAACCATCGGGTTATAATTAAAGTAAGCAAATCAGAAAGTAATTTCACAGAGGTAGCCTAGTCGTTGTCAAAGAATTCTTAGACCACTAGACTACCGTGACCACAATTTTTATTTTTTATCTGCTTCCAAAATAAAATTCTCTTTTATGGATCTTTTTAAAAACTATTTTCTAGTATAATTTTTGCAGGGATGGCTGCTAAACTAATTTTTTTCTTTTTAACGTTATCTTTTTTTAACAAATATTTTTCTATCAAACATTGACTTTATAGGAGTAGTAATACAATTATCATCACGTCATTTAAGACAGGAGTCTTATTTAGAACTCATCTCGGTATTGTGCGCAGCTTGTAATGCACTCAAAAAAATTTTCGATCATTACAATAAAAATTTTTTTTTTTAATGATTTTTGACTTTCCAATATCTTTTTATGTCAATAATTCTTACTTGAAAATTTTTTCGAGTGCACGCCCATACATAAATTTTAACAATTCTTTGTATCGTTTCTAAAATTAGTGAATATTTTATATTCCATGCATTTTAGCCTAACTCATGTTATTAATTATATCTTGCTGTATTATTGTCTATGTATTTTACAAATATTTTATAATCGTACACCCTAATCCTATTATTATATTGACAATTTATATAGACACAATTTACCATACAATATTTTAATACAAAATCAATTTATTTATTTATTTTATAAACAAAATTTTCAAGTATGTTGTATATTTTGTTTTTTGTAAAAAAGCTGTCACAGTATTAGTACAATAAGTTATACTTTTTTAAATAAGTTATCAGAATCTATTATTGTAAAAGAAGTAGATGATAATATTTTACTATTTTAAATTAAGTTATGATTTTGATCTTAAAAATCTATTTAGAACTAAACTAATAAAACTTATATATTTTATACCACCATTTTAGAAATGTTAATAATTATGATATATAAAGTGTACTCAAAGAAATATTTGTAGTTATAATTATAAATTTAAAAAAATGACTTAGTAATGCAAAAGTTGAGTGAAAGACTGTTAATTATTTTGTTATTAAAGCCTTTTATAATTGTTGCAGGTGTGAAATTATCACCATTATTTAATTACTTAAGCAATAGGTTCCACATACCTGACCACGATTTTTCTGCTATAGTTTTTAAAATAATGAATGAAGCACTCAAACATATTTTATGAAAAAAATTTCGACTGGTGTATCAAATGATAAATGATCACTTTTATAACGTAATTTCTCTAGAAACATTTCATTATCCTTTAAAGTGACTTAATTATTATCTTACCATTGTCTATCATTATATCTTAAAGCTTAATTTAATTTTATATCGTCTAAAATTACATAAAAACTAATAAGAAATGATCATTGAATATGAAAAACGTTGAACAACAATTAATTCCTCTTTTACTACCGGCATTTATAATAAAAAAATATCATAGTATAACATTATAAATTTTCTGTACTACTGTGATTGGAGTTACCTTTAAATTAATGTAAACATTGTTTAAAAATAAGCTTNGATTTTTAAGGCTTCTAGGTGTTTTATAACAAATTTTTAAAGAAGAATTCTGAATAAAAATCTAATTTTTAAGTGCTGATCAAAAAAGTGCTAGTGCAGTATTTTATTTTATCTGTATCCATATCATTAAATATCCCTAGAATTCAGTCAACATCATTTTAAATTTGATAGCGTCCATATCGATTAGATATTACATAGCAACATGAAGCTGGCTACGTATTTATGTGTATATGTATAGTTGTAAACTTTTTTTACTGCAACGAAACTTGGGAAAAATCAATGAAATAAATTGTGTTATAAATAATCAGAACTTTGGTTATATCCGTACGGACGTATTTCTTTTTTAATCCACTATAGTTGTGACCTTGATTGAACCGAAAAACCGTCCAAAAAATTTTTTTAATATTAAGCAGTTATTGGAAGTCAAGATGTAATGTAGTAGAAGCAATTCGAATTAGTAGCTTCAGCGTTCAATGCAAAATCTTCAAAATCTTGGATGAATAATAAATATTGAAATTAATTTTTCCCAAGTTGTGGCATCATGCGAAAGCATGCTTCAAAATATATATTTTTTATCGTAATATGAAGAGTTTAAAGATTTACGTTGGAATATATTGAGCTAAAAATATTTTTTTCGACATTATCTGTATAAGTTAAAGGTGTAACAAGCCAACTGTATATATAAGGTTTAAACATCAGTTATCACATTTTATTTTTATTTACTGTCTCATTAATTGTTTGTCGTTCAATTAATTTTTAGTTCACCAAGTAAATTTTCAAGACCAGAAAAGCAAAAATTGTTGCAAATTGAAACTCTTCATACCGATTTTTTATTTTTTAAATGTATTTTTATATTATATTAAACACACTTTATTTTAACACAATAGTATTCAATCTATTTTAACGGTATAGTAAGTAGGAATTATGTTATATCGACTCTTATGTGGCCTAATATATATGTTTTTTACATTCGTAAATATTTTCAATATAGAATCTTAATTTATTTTAGGATGACGCATTTGATGCTTTACAAATTTTTATTTAATTACAATATTGATTTAAACATTCGAAAACGCACAGCTACGTAAAATAAAACAATACAGTATTTTTATAGCTTTTTTTCATTGCCTATTCGAATTTTTCAAATCTGCAGTTGAGTAAATTTTAAGCTTGTAAATAAACCACTTCGTGGTAACACATTGTCGTGTCTCTCGTGTTTTTTCCTCAAAATCTATAGGACATACAAAAATCTTTTTAATCGCATCTTATGCGTGGTTTCAATAGAGTTTTCCTTTGAAATTTATTCATATTATACCATTATTTTTTTATATATGTGTATATATATACTTTGTATCGTTACTATTATCATTATCGTTAAAAATTTATTTTTGTATGTTGTACCAAAACTATAATCATCAATTCCCTTTACAGAATAACTGCCATAGACGCTCATTTTATCTGAACTTTGCTATTTTACTTTAGTAGGATGAGATCTTGCACCGTCGCTTTTTTTTTTTTTTTCCAGTTACCGGTCATTTAGAAACGCGCTTTTGTAGAAACACGTATAGAAACTTGCAGACTTGAGGAACGGAATCGTGCTTACGCCCTTTTTTTTTTTTTTTTTTTTTCGAGTTTCGTCGAAATATCATTATCAATAAAACAGTCGGATAAAAATATGTCAAAATTTATATATAGAATCTATGAGTGCGGTCGAATCTAAGACAGGTGCAGCTGATGGATGTATTGATTTGTCACGCGACTCGCGCAGCTTATTCGAGAGTTCAAGAACTTATTGTCGATTATACTTACGCTTACTCTGCAAATCTCTACATGCTTCCATGTCTAGAACATTCGCTTGCTATATGTTTCCATTTATTTCATTGTTATTTTGGATCGCCGTGCCTTTATATATGTACCTAAATATATGAATTTTTTAATTCTCACGCCAATACATGTAACTGACTCGCAACGAACTTGAGTTAGAGTCGCTGGACGACTTGCATCGTATGGTTGACTCACAGTGACACGTACATTTATACATATTAAAATCACAAATAGACATCTCGCTTCGTTTTTACTTAACCCTAACTCCCCCCCATCTCTTTACTTCTTCTTTTTTTTTGTTTTTTTGTTTTTTTTTTTTCGTTTTTTTTCCCCAAATAATTTTTTGCTCCTAGACTTATCATTGATTTAATTTATTGTCGTCCATGCGTTCTCAATAGCGAGATTATTGTCACAGCTAAAATCAAAAATTGACTCATCGACTTTGTCATCAAACTAACGTGTACTTTTCATCTTTTGTTTTTCTCTCTTCAGTGGGACAAATTGCCTCTGTGCATCGGGCGTATGTTTCCTCGATCACATCGTCGTTCGTATCTCGTACCAATTTTACCTCGGGTATAAAAAATACTTTTGATCGACGCTAATAAAATATCGGCCGTTGAAAGCTGCCACTTACGAGCGCTTCGTGCTCCTCTCGGGTCTCTTCCTTCCGGCTCTTCTCATGAACCAGTTGTAGTAGAGCTTGGCGGCATCGTCGGAGTTTTTGGTCTCGGCGCGGGCCGAGTGCTATCCGAAGTCGTTATTCGAGGAGTCCGAGTATTCTTCGATCATTGCCTGTATCCACGGCACGTACTTTGGCACGTACGCGTAGACACCTGGTAGCCGTGGGTGCGCGCACTTTATGCCCCAGCTGACTATGCCGCCGACGAACCATCGATCTTCCTCGTTCTCGTCTTGGCAGAGTAAAGGGCCACCCGAATCACCCTAGAAAAATCATTTTTTTTCTTTTTTCTTATAACTTTTTCAATCCTTTCTCTCTTAATATTGTCATGCAGTTCATTTTAATGTCATGTCAACTTTGCGTTTATTTATAAATTGTAACAACTATTGACAAACGCTGTAGAGTTGGATTATTTTTAAATATATTCAACATCCTGATTATTATTGTTTAGTAAATCAATAAAACAATTAATTATCATCTGTCTAATCTTACAACTTCAACCTGGTATTATAGTTTCGAATTGGGCACGCAATCATAGAACTATTAATAAGCATGAGTTGAAGAAAGTTGTTAAAAAGAAATTACTTTTTTATATTGTATTTATTACTTCGTAAGGTGTTTCAAAAAAACTATCCCACGAAATAACGCTCATCAAGACGGACAAAAATATTTTTACCAAATCTAATGCGTACTTTTTGAGGCATTGTTGATTAAAAATCAGAACAGAAATTTCATATCTTAAAACATTGATTGTCACTTGACAGTAGCTTTTCTATTCTACGTTGTATGATTGGTTGTTAGGACGAATCACGTGATTTTTTATGTGGTATTTAAAAAAAATCAATTGCATTGAAATGCAGTATTAATTGATATAAAACAATGTTTATAATGTAGAAATAAACTGAAGTTTTACAATTTAATCTGCTTATCCTTTTAAAAGAAATCAGTAGACAAATAGCTTTATTTTATTAAAGTTTATTGAGAAAATGTTGGACGTTTTTATGAAAAAAAATATTTTCAAACAA